AAAATCGTCACTGACTGTTTGCCTTGTCCCTCACTTTTCACCGTTCCTTCGCTTCCTCCTACCAATTACTCCTGCCATATACTCTACGAAACATTGTGAAGGAATGTGGTTTGCATCAATGAATGAATTTCCATCTCGAAAAAAAAAAAGAAAACATGCAAATTGTTGTCGTCGCAATTGACAATTTTAAGAGGCGGCGTGTTTGGTGTTATAATGATTTTTCAACTCGTATCTCCGATAAAACTCTTTCCGGCACAATCTGCAACGATGCTTGGGCAGCTTGCCGCATTCGAGCCTCTGATGCCTTCGAAGGTTCGCCATCCACGAGTATCCCTTCCCACACTCCCCGCACATATACTGCTGCCGTTCGCGGGGGCCAAACGCGATTAACCGTGGGCTGTGATGAATCGTTTCCACTTTGATATCCTTGGTTTCGAAGCAATCGAACTCGTTCATCGGGATGGAGCCGTCTGGAATAGACAAAGATCGATTAATACCGAAACGATGAGGTGTTCGATGATTTTTGGACGGATGAAATGAAGGATGTATATAAGGGAGGGGTGACGAGAAAACGATAGAAATACGACACGATACTCGGTCGACACGTTACGCGAGACCATTTTTCTCGTACAAGCGTGTTACAATTATAATCGATATAGACTTTATTAAAACGATAGATTTCAAGAAAAATACAATTTTCTATTCGGCTGCCTCGCCAAGTCTCTGTTGAAACGCAAAAACGTTGTTTCGTTCGAAATGAAATGTGTTAAAACGTGTCATCCGATCTTTCGGCAGATAATTTGCAAAAAGAAATTTTTTTTTTTTTTGCTCTTTATGATCCCTAGATCAAATCTGAATGATGTGCCAACAAGTGTTCTTTCAGCCTGTCGCGTCTGTAAAATTTTCTCGCGCAAAAGTGACACTTGTTCCTCGCTTCTTTGTTCCCGCATTGCAGCTGGTGTCGACGTAAACTGTACATCCACGTGTATTTTTTGCCGCAAAGGGCGCATGTGAAAAGTTGCTGTTGCTGCTGTTGTTGCTGTTGCTGCTGCTGTTGTTGGTGCAATTGATGCGGTAACTGTTTCTTACTGGAATCCGCCACCGGATAGTAGTACGAGTCGTTGAAATTCCTTTCTTTCGGCAACAGATCGTCCGCCGTCGCGTTTCGATAATCGTTCATCGTGCTCCACTCGATCTTCGATAGGAAACCTGTCGAAGCAACACACAAAGTAAACAAAGACAGTAGACGAAGCGAGCGGGGAGTATGCCTTGGGACGAGAGAGGGATGATTTCACGAGGAGAGAGAGAAAAAAAAATAAAAAAAAGAGGTTCAGACATCGTAGAATTAGTCGGTGCATTCGGATCGGAATAATCAAAGGATCGAAGAAAATTGCGTTTTGGTTTGATGATGCGATGTATAATTTATCACGAAGAGAGTGAGGAGGCAATTTTTTCGTAAATGCTTCTGAAAAAAAGAGAAAAAAAGAATATGTCGTTCGATTATATATATCAACGAGATTATTATTATTGTTGTTGTTGTTGTTGTTATTGTTGTTGTTGTTGTTGTTGTTGTTTTCATCGTTCACATTCTTTTTATTTATCGATACATATAAAACGGATATAAAGCGTTTATGGTTAAAAACTTTTTTTTTTTTGGTATTGAAACGTTTCATTGAAACAAAAGTATGCGGAATGTAATGAACGAGTTAACATTGCGAGTTAATGCACGTAATTGTCGACAAACATTTTTGCTCACTTTCATACATTCCACATTACACTCGTCATTAAAAAATGTGTTATGTATTATGTACATAGCGTTGACGATAAGTCTATAGGGATGTGGATCCTCGGATCGTCCCTCGGGTAAATTCGAGCTTTTTTTTTTTTAGGAAAAAAGTCGGAAACGTTCGAATAAAATCGGTTGAGATCTCACGTATCGTGTTTAAAAATTCCTGCGAAACTCGTCCGACTTTTAACGAGCTTGCACGAAGTCAAGCGAGTCGAGTCGCCACGAATCCCACCCGATCTCGCCCGAAGTTTCACGATCTGTCTCGAACCCGTATATATATAAATATATATTCGCACACCCTTATAAATCTATCTTACAAATGAACAGCTCACTCGATACGAAATTCCTCGAAACATTTGAGAAACAACGTAAACGTTAAAAAATTATTTAAAACTTTAAAAATCGAACCGAAACACGCATACTAAAACATACGAGGGATTGATTATTCGAAACAAACGAATAGAGAGACAAACAACGCGTGCCTCGGTAGAAAAATGTAAGAAAAAAATTGATTTTCAAAATTAAAACCTCGTGTAATTGCGAACTCGAATGTTTCAAGAATAAAAGAAAAAAAAAAAAAAAAGAAAGAAAAAAATACTTTCGGCGCATCCCTACAACAGAAAACGAATCGATCTCACTCCCGTTCCTCGGTGAATGCAGGCGAGTCATCGGTTTTCTGTATAATGTGCCGTAATTTTCTCTGGCACCCGACGATATGCGAGTTCAAAACGAACGATGCTTGAATCTTCGGTCGCAAATCGGGCAAACTTCGCAAGGTATGACACCGCACTCGAGCCGTTTGTGACGACTCAGAGACGTGGTCGCCTTGTAAGTTTTCCCGCACCTGTTGCAAGTGTACTTCGAACCCGCGTCCTTCGTATCTTTCCGCCTTTGACTTCTGTTCGCCTCGTAACGGATCCCGGGATAAGGTAACTGATTCCATAACGGTTCGTTATTGTCCTGAGGTTGCTGTACGTCCTGCGACAACAGCATCGTCGCCAGAAGTCCTGAAACGAAAGGATTTTGTTCGTTAGACGCTATGCCTCTTGCGTGCGTCCTCTTATCTTTCTTTCGCTCTCTCGCTCTCGCTCTCGCTCTCGCTCTCTCTCTTTCTCTCTTTCCTTAACAAAACGAAGGAGGAAACTTTAGATTGTGCGATGCCCTAGAAACTTGCGACTTTTCGTTGCAGGGTGCGGGTGCAGTTTTCGAGAATAAACGGGGGGAGGGGGGACGATTAAAGAGGAGAATAGAGGAGAAAAAGAAAAGAGAGCAGAAATGGCCTTCAAAGGGGCAAGCGAAAGAACAAATTGTTATTCAGAGTATGTACGTAAGAAGAGAACATCTTGCATCTCCCTCGTGAAGAAACGTTGCGTTCCTTTTTTTTTTCGATACTTTCGATATGTGTATGTATCAAGCGAGATCATTCTTTTTTTCTTTTTTATAGAGGAAAACATATACATATATATATATATGTATATATATATATTTATTCGACAAGTGTAAAAACTTTACAATGATTCACTCGTGCTTTTTTTTTTTTTTTGTTCGATTTTTCGACCGATGGGTATCGTGCTATATTTGCGTATATAGAAACACACGTGTCTTTTTTCCACTTTTCACAAAAGCGATCAAACATTTTTTGGATGGACAACACTAGTCTGTCTAGAGTACGTATCAGTGTTATAAAATTACAATTTTCGATGTTTCATTTATATAAATAAGCTACGTGTAAAAAAGATAAATTATTTAATAATTATTACTTTTCTTTGGGAAACTTTTATACGTAGTCGATAAAATTCCTTTCTTATTTGGTGCCTCTAAAGTCTAAATTAATTGGTTTCCCGTCTTTAAGCCGGGAGCCGAGAAGAGGAGACAAATTGTATAACAACTTTTTATATAGTCTCGTAGTATTCCCGCTTTCTTCTACACGAAGCCAAGTGGTGGGTCAATTTGAACCTGTGCGTGAACTTTTTCCCGCAAATTGGGCAGCTCTGCCTCGGCTCGACCCCGCACTCGAGCCTTTGGTGCCTTCGCAGCGAGGTCTCCAGTTGATAACCTTTCCCGCATCTGGTGCACTTGTGAATCACCGGCCGCCTCTTGTATCGCAGATTTTCGATGTTTTTCACGGTCAGCCTCGGCGCTGAAAAATAGCGAAAGAAACGAAAACACCGGTCAGTATGCGATGCGATTCGAATGATTTATTATCGGGAGAGGAGAAGGGGGAGGGGGAGAACGACGAGAGAGAAAGAGAGAGAGAGAGAGAGAGAGAGAAGAAAAAAGGATCGTTAGGCGACCTAGACGAAATGTGAGACATTAATATACGTATTATGTTACATCACATTTACCGTGTGGGATACAATGGTAAACAGGTGGTGGAGGGGAGAGTAGGGCACGCGAGAGAAGGACGGCAGTAGCGAGAAAAGACACAGCGTGGAAGAGGAAAGAAAGTAAGAGGAAAAGTAATCGTGTGAGTCGTAATCTTGTTCAAAGAAACGTTACCTATGAGAAATGTCTCTCTGTCTCTGTAAGTAAATACAGGATGGGCCACGTGGCATGATCGAAAAAAATTGTAATAAATGATAAAAGATTGCCAGACGTTAACGGAAAACTTTTAAAAACACAGCCTGTGTTGCGCACACAAATACTCGTGAATAACTTCTTTTGAATAACGTTTATTATTCTAATATATGAGAAAAAGAATTCTTGTCAAGACAAATTCATATATGTGTGTGTATATAAGTAACTTTCCAGTAACAACAATCGATCACAGTTTCTTAAAGCGTGTATCACGATTATAACTCGCCTCATCACGATGTTAATCGATTTTAATATATATATATATGTACTATATATATATATATATAGAGCGATGAGCGTCATTGACTAGCTAGACACGCGCCTGTTTCGTAGGTCAAATATCGAGATAATGTATCAGTCTGGCGTGAGACTGCCAACGGTGTTTGTGCTTGAACTTCCGGCCGCAAATCGGGCATTCATACGTGGGCTCCTTGCCGCACTCGACTCTCAGGTGCTTCTTCAACGAGTCTTTCCACATGTATCGTTTGCCACACTGGAAGCACAACCATAATTTCTTCGAGGTGGCTGGAAAGAAAAATCGAGAAATTATTTCGACGGCTATACAACGAACCTTCTTGTTTTCATGATATGTCATGGTTTGATATGTCACATAACAGACTAAAAAGCTATTGGTGACACAAACTGACGTAATCTTCACGTAAATTGGGAACGTAAATTGGTGAGTTGATTTCGATTTCCATTCAAATAGAGCTCGAATAGAAAATTTCACGCGTAAGTACGTACAAGTAAGGGTCGAAAAGTGATTACACGTTTGATCGCAACGGTGTGTCGACAACCTTTCATTTATTGAATACAGAATAATGTAAATCGGGTCTCCAATAAATAAAATAGTAGCAGCATACCGTGCGATCACACGTGTAGACCCCTTTCATAGGGTTGACCCCAGTTCACGCAAGGAATAATACGATAAGAGCATGTTAATTCTTATATTCCCTTCTTCGTCTAATCGAATTTCTAACATTTTTCCACAATATCCTCAATATCCTGGTATAACACGCGAAAAAAAAAAGGAATTATAAGTATTTTGCGGCTCTTTGTCAACGAAACTTTTTATTATCGTGCTCATTGCTATGATACTCGTTACAATAACTTGTGATAAAGTCGATGACGGGAGTCATAAGGAGTCGCTTGTTTTCACGAAAACATCGAAACGTTTGGAATTATTATCGTTATAAATTAATTTGATGCATAGATTTTGCATGAGATTGCCATCGATGCTTATGCTTGAATTTTCTGCCACAAATTGGACATGTGAATGTAGGTTCTTTTCCACATTCCACCCGGATATGACTCTTCAAGGAACCACGCCACTGATAACGTTTCCCGCATTGAAAACAGAACCACACCTTCTGCAAGTGAGCTGTAAAAAAAGAAGTGTATCGGATCGGTTAGCCTTCTACCTTTTAAAGTCTGATCGAATGAGACAAATTGACTCTCGATCATACACTATTTTCCTTTTGCTACTCCACACTATGTTCTAAAAAACGAAAACGATTCAAGCCAATACAGCGTTAACATTGCTCTTACTCTTCACTCGAAATTACATGTTCGATTTACCAAGCAAATTTAAGATAATACTTCCTAATCGATTGTCAACGATTACTTTGAAATAACATGCATTTTACGAGAGTTTGGTGCACTTCTCGACAATTTTACATAGAAATTAGACTTCATCGTTAAATACTTATCGAGCCTTTATTAATCTTCTAATACAATTTCTTGGAAGCCCAGAATTCCTAAACTTTGTATAACAAATCTTTCAAATTAATTTATACAAAGTTTTAGCTATCTTTAATGATTTAAAAAAATTTATTTTGAAAAAGAGGTCATTGGATTAGCAGTGTATTACGGAATTTAACTTTTTCACAAAACTTATTCTATGTAAATATATACATAGATACTATGTACATGTGTAATAAGATTTTGTAGGACAAAATTTTTACCGTAATGTTGTTATTATAAAAATTCTAGAATAGTCGAGTAAATCTACTTCTGCATTGTATTTTCAATCGTTTACTACATTCAATCATTTCACCATATTGAAATATTTCAGCCATATTGAAATACAAGACTAGTGAGACGCTGGATTCGAGGTTAATTTGTTTTAATTTTAACACGCATAACACATTTTACACGAGATTTTTATATTATTCATATTTATAAAAAATTATTATTTCAAATTTTCTTTCAAATTGTTATTTTAAAAACAAAATGCTTCTGTCACATGTTCTCTTCAAAACCATGCTATAAATTATATGTATTACTCGCCTGCAGAGTGCACCACTAGTACTGAAAATGGCTAAAAGACTCTCCTTTACGTTTTATCCCCTCATTCAAAAATCTAATTTATCAACCGATATCAAAATTTGATTATTATATTGATGCTCGTTAAGAACAAAAATTGAATATCAATTTAATACTGCGTTGCAGAGGCTGTTCCAGAATTTTTTATATCAATATACAGGTAAAAAGTTTGCTCTTTATGATCTTATTACACAAAATGTAGCGCGAGCCGCGATAAAATTTCAAACTTTTATTGTTATCGAAATCCCTGACTATGCAAATTCGAGGTAAGATGCGACTGCAATCTGTGCTTGTACTTGAACCTTCTGCCGCAAAGGACGCAGTTGAATTTCGGTTCCTTTCCGCAAAGGCGGAGATGCGTGTACATGGAAGATTTTCTCGAGTAGATCTTGCCGCACACTCTGCACGGGTAAACATTTTCTGGAGCGGCCTCACCTGAAACACAAACGATGAATCGTGCGTGGATGCAGAAAGCGTGGATGCTTCGTTAAAACTGGACAATCGACGCCATCCAAACAATCGGCCACGACAGACGTTTCTGGCTTGAGAAATTTTTTTTTTTTTAGTTAACTCGTTGTTAGTCGCAAGAATTAACGATTCGTTTCATTTATTTGCGACGAGACTCTCAAATGTTCAAGTGTTCCCGTTACATAAGGCAAAAAGAAACATTTTATGTTATATATATATTTTATGCGAACGTTATTCAGCGTGAACAGATATAAAATTTTCGAGCAACTATGGGAATGAGTCGAAAGAAATTTTAGCGTAGCGAGCATGCGGCTGTTTTAAAAACCATTACATCGATGTGGCGAATTGGTGAAGAAATACTTTTATGTATTTTCGTTTATTGCTTAATTCGTTTTCATTCTTTTTTTATTCCGCTCTAATTATTAGAACTCTAGTATCCTATCGAAACGCTTTTACTAGCAATTGCATGTATTCGATATATAATGTCTTCTTAAGTTTTTTTAAACGCTTTCAAAATATATAACTTTCCACTTGACTCTTCTCAGTTTCAGTTTTTTCGTTCCAAATTAATCGCGCAAAATATTTTCAAGGTTTTTACACTACTAACAATAAATTATTCGACTCGAACGAGAGAATATCATCTTCCTTCAAATGTTCTTAATTAGGTGAATTAATCAATCATCAGTGATCGACGTAATTATGGATCGATTTGTGATGCTTCGTGAGATGGTGTTTGTGCTTAAATCTTCTCCCGCAGACTTTGCAACAGAATCGTGGCTCGATACCGCATTCCATGCGCTTGTGCAAGTTCAATGACTCTTTCCACTTATACGTTTTTCCGCAGTTGTTACACAGATAGCTCGAACGAAACACAAAAATTGGTAAACCTGAAATCACAAAAAGATACACTTTTATTAGCATTAAGAATCAGACGCGATTAATTCGACGATCACAAGATATACACTTTTCACGTCTCTTTTTAGAAAAAAAATTAAAGATGCGCGGAATTTTATTAAGGATCAAAAGTTCGAAATGAGTGGGAAAAATTCGGGCGAGATCGAGCAAGATCTCTCTCGCTACTCGGTATCCAACGGACTCGTCCGATCTCTGCCGAACCGACCCGAAGTTGAATTACCAGGGCGTCGGTCCGAACTTTCCCGACGCATCCCGAACCCGCGCATATCTACGAAAAATTATTTCTTTAACTTGAAGTTGTCGTGTGACGAAACAATGTCTTTTATTATAAAATTCAATATCGTTTACACATGATTCTATTGATAATATTGTCTTATAGGAACAAGTGGCGAAAATGAATCTAATCTTTGTAATAATTACAAATGACAAACCGGTCAAGAAGATATTGTATTACAGAGAATTTTTATTGCTTGTTTTCATTTATTCCTTTCCTGCTCAATCGCGCTTTCACGATGAAAGTGAAGGGGAAAGATTGGAATGTATTATTATTATTCGTTTAACCAAGATGTTTTCAATTGATCGCAATGATGACGCCTCTTCAAATGTTCTTTCAAATGATGTTTATGCTTGAATCTTCTACCGCAAAAGATGCAGGCAAATCGAGGCTCGATTCCACATTCTAGTCGACGATGCTGCTGCAACGACTCCCTCCATTTATACGTCTTTCCACATTTGTCGCAGACAAATTGTTTAGGGAGTCCTAAAAATTAATCATACAAGCAATTTGTACTCTCATTCCAATTAATCTATCAAATGGTATATTCAGAAAGTGAAAATTTTTTGAATATATTTGAAAAGTATATCACAAAAATATATTTGAAAATAATACTGGAAACATTATGGTTATGCGCTTGCGAATCCTGTAGAAACCATCGATCTTCTTTTCCTTTTTTTGAAAGTCTTTTCGCTTG